AGGTTCGTTGGACATTGGCGTCCTGTGCAGCTGAGTTGCTCACCCAAGCCCCACGCACGCGAACGCGTAAAGAGACACTGTACCTAATGCTCCCGGCAGACGTAAAGTACAGTCTGGCGTGATACTCTTCTACTACCTCGATATTTTCCGCACCTTCCCCACAAATCTCTTCTGCAGCGTCTCCGGGCGAGACATGTCCGGAAACTTGAGGCCGACGAAGCGAGGGTTCTTAAGGAACAGCTGCATGTGCGCCTCCGTCAGGGGCCCCAGAACCCGCTATGTTTCGTGAACGCACGCACCGGGGGAGTGGACCGCCGGCGGTAGGGATCTGATGGTGGTTAGTCAGCAACCACGAATCAACTTACGGCGCATTGTGTGTGTCTGTATTCGTTTGATGTATCCCGGATGCCAGTCTCCACCTTTCGGGGTTACACAGGAGGAACGTCAGCATGCGTCTAGGCTACTCCACACTGGATCGAGAATCCAGCAACAGCCAACCTGGACGATGTAGAGCTGGTCGATCTCGCTGTCCCCGGGAAACAGAGGCTGCCCGTCCACCAGCTCGCCCATAATGCACCCGATCGCCCACAGGTCAACGGACGGGTCGTATCTAGTGGACCCCAGCAGCAGCTCGGGGGCGCGGTACCACCTAGTCAACGACGGTTGTTAACGGACAAGTAGCAAAGGAGCGGGCGCAAAAGGCGTGGCTGGTTTTTTGGGTTTCGCAGAATATGCTGCCCACACTTAGTATCGGCAGCCGCGTCTTATGTCATTACCTAATGAAATCCACTACGTGAAATTCAGTTGGCTGTTTGTGGGCTACGCGTTGAGGTGACCCAAGCGGGAGCTCGGGGCGGGTCGGCGCGCAGTTTCCAAGAGGCATGCCGACGGGGGTTGCTAGCTCGCTGATTGTGATTGCGCCATCTGACATCGCTTACTGTACTTGCGGCACCCGGAATTGCAATTCCGTCATCGCGGGAGCCACCACGGGCGGATTGCTCAGTTCAACCTTCGCCACAACTGTTCCTCTATGCGCACGAAGAAGCGCGAATCATTCAGTCTTTATACAAGAATATAGATGTAATTGTATGTCATTTAATAGGCTGTAAAGAAGTCGGAGGGGGAGGGCTAACGTTTACTCTGACCTCGTGGCCACGTAGTCCGTGAGCTCCTGACGGTGCGCTGAGGATGGGGGCACTATTCTTGCGAATCCAAAGTCGCACAGCTTAAGCTCGTTGCTCCTCGCATTCACGAGCAGGTTTTCTGGCTTAATATCCCTGTGAACGACACCGTTGTGGTGGCACCAGTCAATCGCCCGGCACAGCTGGTGGATGTAGCTGGACAGACGGGATGTGGGAGGTATGCGTAGACCGGCGGGAGGGGGACGAAAGTGAAGGAAAACGGTTTTTGGAGCACGCCAGGACATCTTCCAGTGATGCAGCTGTGGGTTTGATGCTGATGGATGTACTGGGAAAATTGCAGTTCCCCTTCACGGTGTGTGGATAATAACATGCACGGACGCACCACAAGGCTAAGCGATGCCGCCGCTGCCAACTGAATATAGTAGCACGAAGTAGGACAAGCATCATGTCTACGAGTAGCGACCCCAGGTGTCAGTTTGATGATTGTGACGGGCAACGTCCACAACCCCCAGAAGATTTCATGCACGTACGTTTCGTGGTCACGCGACCGCACTATGTGTTGCTGTTGCTGCTGTCGTCGTCGCCGTCGTTGCTACTGTTGTTGTTGTTTGGTGTTGACACCAAGAAAACTGTTGCAACCTCTATCCAATCGGTCCTCGTCCTCACTATCGCAACCAAGCCTTGCAACAAACTCGCTTGCCTAGAAGACCCGAACGAATCCGGGAACCTCAACAACAACAGGATGCATTAAACAGTGGGCGAGAGTATCTCGAAATATTAAGCATTCGCCTGTCTCCCACGGAGAGCATCACCATTTCTAAACATGCTCGCACGGCTAAGCGGCATTCCGGAATGGGTTCATGAGAATACCTTGATCCCACCCCAACACAGCACATTTTTTTTCCCGCTCACCCTCTGACAGCCTCGAACGGCAGCCCGTCCGGGTTATCTTCCAGGACCTCCAGCAGATTCTTTTCGACGTACTCGAAGACGAGGTATAGCTTCCCCTTCCGTCGGAATGCCTCCTTGAGGCACACAATGTTGGGGTGACGCAGCATGCGCAGCACCTTGACCTCCCGCAGCGTCGTCTTCTTGACAATCTCGTCATCCTATGCCCGGCGTGGTGCCCCCCAAACCCGCCGCCGCAGAAACGCGCGGAACCGCACAACCATGGGTTGATCAAAAACTGGTTGTGCTACTGGTTGCGGAAAAGGTGCGCAACATTGTTTCAACTACGACGTTCTCTTCTGTTCGAGGGAACCTTGTGATGCGAATGTTCTACGATGATGCACGGCACTCGTTGATGACACGGCGCGACGCAGTTCCATCCTGCAGCGTGCCAACACAATCGTTTCGCTGGGAACGCCCAAGGGGTGCTGGTGTACCGTGATAGGCCCAGCTTCTGTTCTGGTTCCCGCACCTCGCTTTCCTTGAACTTCTTGACAGCCACGACGCAGCCACTATCTTTGTTGCGACACCGCAGCACCACCCCGTAGGCCCCTTCCCCAACCACGCCCAGCACCTCATATTTATTCATGCCACGGGCCCGAAGAGGAACTGCACCGAATTGATGCAAAAACGTGAACGAGGGTTTTCTGTTAAAGCAGATGGATATAGGGCGAAATGAAGCCCCGCATGGATGGGCTTGGCATCAATCCGAGGTTGTTTGGTTGGGAAGGGCTCCTCATCCGGTACGCTTGGGAGCCGCAAACAGAAAACAACCCTTTCACACCAGCCCGTGCCACGGCTTCGAAGAAAACACTTACTCATCAAATGAGTACGACCATCCTCCTCAATATTTACATACTGTGGCGAGGTCAAATACAACGCTTAGCTGCCAGTTGTTTTTGCGACCAATAGATTGCCGTAGTACTGCAAGTGATGGCACCCCCTGCTACACAGACGTTCATCGGTAGAGTTCTCCACAACCAAGAGGGTAGTGCTGCCGAAAGAGGTGATTTTGGAAAAATCTCTTCGAGAGCTTGCGCTAGACCTATCCACCGGCTCACGCAGCTTCTTAGTTGGGGAGCAAGCGAACGATAAAGTTAGTCTAATGGCTATGCTGTTACTCGCACAACCCCGCCGAAAGCGCTAAGCGTTGGCCACGTTGTCGTGGAGATCGACATCTTTCCTGCCAACCCAAGAAAACAACGGGGAAACCTACGAGATTCCACGGTGGATAAGGTTGCGACTTGGCAATATTCTTGGAGACATATGCGTATGTTTCCGATCAAGGAGAGAGGCAGGCACTATGAAAAACCTCAGGAAAACTCGAATTCATTCCTCCGAGGCAACGCCGAACCACGAATCTCATGACGCTGGCAGCCCTTTCGACTCCGCAGTAACGATGGGCCTCGTTATTCTACATAGTTGACTGAGTGGATGGATCCTGATGTCGTTTCTCAATGTTTGGCGCGTGCGTCATGCGTGATACAGAAAAAAAAAAAACTCCTGCAATCGCTGAGGGCGGATTCCAGCCTGGCGTACATTGGAGTTCCCACACACCCTATTACCTGGGTAGGGAATAGGGTATCCAACTGCTGTAGTGTGGACAAGAGGCTGGAACATTCGCAACTGCGAGGCTTGTGTGTGTATCTCTGTACGCCACACACCACAATCTATGGCTACTTAATCCCTCGGGTCTCTTCCACACCGGAACGCAACCTCCTGTTACACGTGTTACCATTTAGAAAGTGCCGTGGTCAACAGATTCGAGTAGCGGGCAAGATACGTCAAGGCGCTATATACTTTTCTTCATGTTTCACCGAGACTGGTCGATGGCTAGACCGCACGTCGGTTTCTACGCTAAGCCAACTTCAGTCAATATCGAAAATCTCAGGGCAAGTACCGCAGCCGCGGCCACCACACCCGCACTTAAAAGGAACATTACGCCGCGTCCTTGTGCCGAGCCAAGAGATCCGGTACGTACCCGACCAACAACTGGACACAGGAGGGTCCATTTTCTTCCGCACCAATCAACGAGTTCGAGGCATTGATAGTCTCAAGGAGCATGGCTGCTGGATAAAGGAATGCCGACGGTGCTCGTACTAGCGCAGAGCTCACATAGGTATACGTTTGACGCGCGAAGCACGCCGACACTCCATGCAAGATACCAGATTTGCTTTTGCGAAGAAAACTGCAGCAACCTCGAAAGAAAGGTGATTCTCGCCCGGCCGGCCTATTACTGAACCTTTGGTGCAAGGACTTCATTACATCGCCACAAGGTGCACAAAATCTGGCAGATGTCACAGATTCTCTATGCAGTCACTTCTATGCACCCTCTTGAAGACATAACCCCCCCCCCCC